CAAAGTCACAGTGGCCCTCCTGGTTTTGGGACAACCCAAAAGACATTTTTCACCGGTAACACGGATCTTACCAGACCGATCTCCACACGAGAACCCCTTGAACCACCAAATTCTACTCCAGTCACAAGCCAAAGCAGTTCCCCAGTTTTTGGAACAACCCTAAGGACCGATCCTGATCTCACATCTCAATCTCTTTCTGCTACGAGAAACTCAAGCTCCTCCTCAGCAGCTCCCACCACGGGAACCTCCTCGACCACTCGGACCCTGGCACCTTGCCCCACCGCAAAATCTCCTCCCATCTCGGAGAACCAGTCATGCTACCGCCATGGCGTGGTCAAGCCCTGCCTGGTAGCCATCGCCTGCCTAGCTGCCCTAGCCACCATTTTCATGGTCTCCACCATTGTCCTCTGCGCCAAACTCTCCACCAAGAAGTACAAGTTGAGGAAGACCCAGGACCTGACGGAGATGACGTTTATGTCAACACTCATGCCCGAGAGGAACTACGCAGGCATAAGACGGCACAGTCCGGTCTCCAACGGAGTCCTGGTGATCCACAGCGCCGGGGACAGTGACGAGGACATCAGTGACAACCTCACCCTAAGCAGCTTCCTTCCGGAAAGTGACAGGTGTGTTTAGGACGGTCTACTTTTTTTTTTTTTCTGGATGGTGACTGCAGGACTGATGCTAACATGAGAGGTGTTTCCATGATTAGATCAAATAATTTCCCGTCATATTTGTATTACTTAGTGTTAACTTTTCAGGTAGCACGGTGGGTGTTAACTTTTCAGGTAGCACGGTGGATGAGTGGTTCGCATGTCTGGCTTACAGTTCTCAGGTTTGGTGCTCGACTTGTTTGCAGAAATTACCCGTGAGTATTTTTGGTGCCCTTTTCGTGACAGATATAAGATGCCACAAGATGGCACCAATGTCCTCGGAGAAGTAGTAGTCGGTGTCAAGGAAGTATGTTAACGCCATAGATCTTTGCCTAGAGTCAAAGGTCTTTGGAGGTCAAAGGGAAAATTAATTTTAGCCTATGCAAGCATTTGCAGCCTCGGGTCAATGTTTTGATTTACATTTGGCGGCATTTACAGCCTCATATCGTTTCTCATTACCGTGCCTTGAAAAAGTATTCACACCCCATAAATCTTTTCACAACTTTATGCCCACAAACTGAAATGTTTTTATTGACAAGTTGTGTAATCCACACCAACGCAAAGTACCACATGATTGTAAAGGCAAACGGAAATGTGTCGGGTTTTTTTTCAAAATTGTAAGCAAATAATCTGAAAAATGTGATATGAGTTTGTATTCGGCCCCCTTTTGTCAATACTTTGTAGCACAATGTTTGGCTGCAATTTTTTTTTTGGGTGGGGAGGGGGGCGGGGGGGGGGAGATACATCTCTCACGGCTTGTAAAATGTAAAAATGTAAATCTTACCATAGACCACAGGTGTCAAACTCAAGGCCCGGGGGC